CCCCCTACTCTCACAGCTCACTCCTTATTATTAAAAACTGTGACAAGATGAGGGAGAAATGCTGTCCAAGTGTCCAGAATGAGACCATATTTTAGCAAAGACCTGGGCACGACACTGCGCCCTTGAAACCTCTTCCCTGTGCCGTGAACACAGGGCCACCCCCATGACTCCACAGATCAGGCTTTTACGTCCAGGGCTTATTGCTTTCTGAGCCTCCTGGGATATAGAGGATTATTCCGGACTTAATCCTTTAATAATTTTTCCTCCCTCCTGTCTGAGGTCTGGCTTTTCCTGCCGAACTCAGATTGGGTGAAAGAGCTTGTGTCCAGCTCCATGGAACCCCTTACGTGCTGTTTTCCTCAGTTACTGTCAGGGAGTTAGAAGGGGCTGTGTGGGAAGCTGGCCACATCTGGGACATGTAAAGACAAAGATTGAAAGCCAGATTCAGGCTTGAAGTCTGGTCCAAGAGAGAAGCAACTCATGACACACCCTGCATCTGGAACCTGATGCATTGTCCCTCTTAAATCGTCACTGCAGCAGGGGGCTGGGTGGCACTCCCATTTTCTTGAGGAAGCAACAGGGGCGTGGTGACAACTTGTAACTCGTCCAAGTACACAGTGGCAAGTGAGGTTAAAGTGGGAGAACCAGGCTTTGAACCCTCTACTAATAGACTGAGCTGTGGCAGAACATTGAGGCTGCTGTAGGAGAAGCAAGGGTACGCTACAGATATGACTAAAAGATAGAACATAGCAGGCATGATGAGTTGTGCCTAGAATCTCAGTGTTCAGAAGGCTGGCGTAGAAAATCACTGCAAGTTCAAGGCCAGCCTGGGCTGAGGTGAGGCCTTGTTAAATAAAATTAAAGAGAAAAAAAAAAAAACAAACTCAGGAGGATGTGCAGGCAAATCTGGAGTTTAAGGTCATCCTTGACAACATGGTAAATTTGAGACCACTTGTGGGCTACCTAAAACCCACCTCCAAAAACAAGAAGACCTTTAATCCCAGCACTTGGGAGGCAGAAGCAGGTGGATCTCTGAGTTTGAGGTCAGCCTGGTCTACAGAATAAGTTCCAGGACAGCCAAGCTACTCAGAGAAATCTTATCTCAAAAAAATAAATAAATAAACAAATAAAAGTTAAAAGACAAAGGGTGTAAATGGCCTAATAACAGTAATACAGCTATAGATCAGATAGATTTTTTTTTCAGGGCTGGGATTCAAACCCAGATCCTTGCCTATACTAAACAAATGCTGTACACCACTGAGCTGCAGACCCATCTCTTGAATCGGCTTTACTGTTGGTTCATGAGTAAAGAGAGCTTCTATTACACAGATTTGCTGGACAACAACACAACAATGGGCTTTGTAAGGTGAAAACAAGCAAGTATAGCAGGAAAAAAGTCCAGTTTAATTAACTTGCACTCACTCTTTTTGTTTGTTAGTTATTGTTTTTGGTTTTGGTTTTTTTTCAAGACAGGGTTTCTTCATGTAGTCCTTGTTGTCCTGGAAGTTGTTCTGAAAACCAGGCTGGTGTTAAACTCAGAGATGGACCTGTCACTGCTTCCCAAGAGCCGGGATAAAAGGTGTGCACCACCATTGCCCGGCATCAAGTTACTCTAAAAGTAACAGCTAAACCAAAGGTGATTTCTTTATGATGTTAAAAGAACAGATATAAATCCCTGTTTTAGGAATGAGCCCATTTGTTTTAGAATCTGCCTCCTTAAAGTTATGTTTTGATTATGCAGAATTTAGTATGAGTGACTCCATTTTGTATGGTCGGGTCAGTTGGAGCCAATTCAGAGGTTAAGATCAAACAATTGTCTGCTGTGGTTTCTTCGAGGCAGATGTGCCCTCAAGGAGATCATAGTCTGGGCAAGATCTGCCCCGACTGTGAGTCCAGAGCAGTCAGTAGCAGACTGAGGGGGAACTAAGTCAAGGAAAGGAGGTATGTATGGGGGAGGACTCTATAATCCTAGCACAGGGAAGGCAGACACAAGAGGATCCCTAAGGTTTGCTGGCCAGCAAGTAAGGCTTAATCTGTGAACTCCAGGTTAAATTGGAGACCCTGTCTCAAAAACTAAGACAGAAAGTGATTAAAACACAAAAACTTTTTTTGCAGTGGTGGCACAAGCCTTTAATCCCAGTACTAGAGAGGCACAAGCAGGTAGATCTCTATGAGTTCAAAGTTAGCCAGATCTACACATGGAGTTTCAATACAGCCAGGACTGTTACACAGAGAAACCCTGTCATGAAAAACCAAATCAAAACAAAAAAGCATTGATTTCTGGTCTACACACCCATATACTTGCACACACAGACACATATACACACACTAATGTAATATAAGGTTCCCATCACTGCTTCTAACCCCAAATGAACACTCCGAGACTTATATTAATTATAATACTGTTCACCGATGACTTAGGCTTCTTATTGGCTAGCTCTGTCTTAATTATTAACCCATAACTACTAATCTAAGTATTTCCACGTAGTCTTGGCTTACCAGAGAATGCTGGACCTGCAACTCCTTTGCCTGCTACATCGAGACTGTTCTAGAGGGCTCTCCTGCCTACCTTTCCCAGACTTCTCCTCCTCTCCTAGTCCTGCCTATCTTCCTGCTTCATTAGTCATCGGCCCAACCGTGTTTTATTCATCAGCCAACAAGAGAAGCATATACAGAAGGACATCCCCCATCACACAAATACTTGCGCATGCACACACATGCACTCCATACGGATCAAAAGAAGAGCCTTCCCAGGTCTCAGAGGAAAAAACTCAGGTTGAGTTCTCCTGTTGGCACCTGAACCACGGGCCTGAACCATGAAGTCAGCCCTCCTGCCCAGCATCCTCCTTCAGGAAATAGGTGCCTCCTTCTGCCTTCCACTGAGCTCGGCAGTCAGTCAGTCTCCTCTTGATCTACAAACCTCCAGTGAACTGCTTCACTGTGCATGCAGCTGTCTAAAACATAGGCTTAGAGAGGAAACTGGCAGTCCCAGCTGTCCCTAGGGGAGGGCACAGCAAATAAATGAGTGGTTATAAGTCATCAGGATAAGTGCTATCGAGGGAAGTGGCAGCAGGGGCTGTGGTAGCATCTGTGTCCCCTGAAATCTTGTTAGAAATTCACATTTGCAGGCTCCACTCCAACTAACCCAGAATTCTGGAGAAGGCCCACCAATCAGCACTTTCATACACCTTCAGGTGATTCTGACCTGAGCCAATGGTAGTGTAGGACCACAGAGCATGGAAACTAACCCTGAATGAAGTGATGGGGACAGGCTTCCTGGAGGAGCCAGATTAAAAGCTCACACAACGCCCCAAGTGCACAGAGCTGTGTATTTCAGAGCATGGAGGGGGAGGGGAATTCAAAGAACTACAGGATGGAAGCCTGTAGTCGTGTATGCCTATATCCAGGTACCCAGGAGGCTGAGACCAGGCTGGGTTACACAGTGAGAACCTATCTTAAAAAGGGAGGTGGGAGAAAAGGGGGGGGAAGCAGAGAGAGGTAAGGGAGGGAGGGGTATGGCAGGGAGGAGTGTGGTAGGGGTAGGATGCTTGCATAGATGAACAAAGCCCTAGGTTTGATCCCCAGGAGTACCAGCTAGATGTAGTGGTAACCCCAGTCCTCAGGAGATGGAGACAGGAGGCTCAAGAGTTCAAGATTATCCTCAGCTCCACAGCAAGTCTGAAGCCATTCCCATTCTTGGATACATGAGATCCTGCCCCCACCTGAAAATAACAGGGGGAGAGGGCTTGCATGTAGCTCAGTTAGTAGAGTGCTTGCCTGGCGTGCGTGAAGCCCTAGGTTCAATCCCCCACCTCATAAAACCAGGTATAATGGCACACACCTGTAATCCCAGTACTCGGGAGATGGTCACAGGGAGATAAGAAGTTCATTGCCTTCCTTGAATGCAAAAGGGGTCCAAGGCTAGCCTGGGAGACTCAAGACCCTGTCACAAAACAACGAAAATAGAAAGTGGCCCTATGGCAGATGAATGGCTCGGATGAAGAGAGGGGCTAGGGCAAGTAAAACCAGCTATGGAACAGAGAACACAGATGCTTGATAACCTCCCTCCCTCGCCCCCGTAATAAAGAACCCTGCTGGAGTCAGGCGGGACAGATACCCCAGCCTCCTGAGAGCTTGGAAAGCCCCCCCACCTCCATCCCACACCTCCTCGTTGGTTAACCGAAGCCGCATGACCTCATGTGTTATGGCTGCGGAGGCGCAGAGGAGGCCAGATCCGGTGTTTGTATTGAAATTAATTGGGGACTCATGGATGATGGAGGCTTTAAGGAATGCACAGGCCCCCTATGTGATCCCTCAAACACAATGGTGTTGCTTACGACCACCAGAGCCCCCCAAAGGCCCATATCTGTATATACTCGGCCCTTCTCCGTGAAATAATAATCATAGACAGATTCAAAACTTTAAAATACGAAGGATACCTGAAGGTTCGGGGGGGGGGGGGGCAGAGAATGGGGGACAACGACGACTTAGTCAAGCACCACTCCCCAGCTATTTTATTAGCCTAGGAAGCAGAGACCCGTTTTACCAAGGCAGCAGCTTGTCAATCAGGAAAAGCCCATTGCTCACCCCCAGACCTGATTTATGGTGATTCAAAGGAGAGATGCTGCCAGGAACAGGCCAGGGCCAGGAAAGTTTCATCTGTCTGGAATCCGACAGGAAAAATGAGGCTGGAAATTTCAGAGGAAGCTGGGATCTGTGCCGGTCACAGCGCCTCTGTTTGTGTTCCCTCAGCTGGCTCCTGTTAGCAGCTCAGGGGCCCGCGGAGGAAGCGCTGGCCAGGTTTTTCCATCTCTCCAGAACCTTGAGCTTGATCCCCAGGCAGCAGCTGCTCTTGTGACCTCCGACCCCAAACTACATGAGCCTTCACCAGGTTTTCCCCAAAGCCCCCAGCTCTGGGCTGTATCTTAAATCAACATCTTTGTTTTTTTTTTCTCTTACTATGAAAAACGATAGGGGAGCGAATCTATCTTTTGGGGTTGTTTGTTTAATCGGACACTTAGCACACTCAAGAAGCAGGGTTCAATAAGAGGAATAGTTAATTCAATTTTGTTTTAATTTCCTCCGTTGGAATGACCATCTCTCCAGAGGTGGCCTTTATTGTCCTCCTTGGGCTAGGGGCACCAGGATCCTCGACCTCCAAACCCTGAGGTTCTGAGCGCTGGATCCAGGTCAGGGGTCGGAATTCTGCCTCAGATCTGGCTGAAAAGCAATGAGGAAAAGATTTTTCTTCTTCTGTGGTGTCTGTGCCATCCATTCACATATTCGTTTATGCCTACGTCGCGCGAGGCCCTGTACAGAGGGTGTGGGAATAGAGCAGACAATATAATTAGGGCATGACCTGTGCTCAAGGAGCTCACAGAGCACAGAAGTAAGGTGGGACACTGAGGTGGGGAGGGGGGACAGGAACAGAGAAGACTGAAACTACTTCAAAAGGCAGGTGAGGGTGAGGGAGATGACTTACTTGGTGAGAGTGCTTGCGGCCAAGACTGATGACCTGAGTTCTACCCTCAGAGCTGCATAGACACACACGTACAAACACAGACGAACACCAAATAAACAAACTAACGTCTAAACTGAGAGGCAAGTTGGGGGGGTCACAACCAAGGAAGGAGGAGAGAACCGGGAAAGAGAAGGGGTGTCCATACACCCACACCATGGGGCGTCTGATGAGACTGCAGAGGACTGGAGGGCTAGGCTTTCTCGGGCAGGCTATTTGTTCTGTTTTTAAAAAGAAGAGAATTACTGAGCTTAAGAGATGGCTCAGTGGTTAAGGGTGCCGACTGCTCTTTCAGAGGCCCCAGGTTTGGTTCCCAGAACCCACATGGCAGCTCAAAGACATCTGTAATTGCAGTCTCAGAGAATCTGACGCCCTCTTTGGGCCTCTTCAGGCATTGCACACACATGGTACATACAAAATAAAAATAAATGAATATCTTTTAAAAGGAAGAGGGCCTAGAGAGATGGCTCAGCAGTTAGGAGCACCGACTGCTCTTCCAGAGGATCTGGGTTCAGCTCCCAGCACCTACATGGCAGCTCACAACTGTCTGTAACTCCAAAATCCAACACCCTCAACAGATACACATACAGACAAAACACCAATAACTAATAAATACAGTTTTGGGGAGAAGAAAAGAAAGAAAGAATTATTCATGGCTATTATTAAAGATGAAAAGCTAGGGCAAGAAGTTTGAGAGTTCAAGGCTAGCCTGAGCTACATAGTGAGACTTTATCTCAAAGTGAAAAGTGACAAGATGGTAAGGAAGCTGGGGCTACTACCGTGGGCTCTGGCAATAGTGAAGAGAGATCGGGCTCAACTCTGAACACAACAAGGATGGTGAAGACTGATAGCCAAATAACGGGGCAGAGTCCGTGGGTAGAAAATTAGTGAGCGGAAGCATCAAGGCCAGTGGGATTCCTGTTGAAGCAAGCCAGGGTGATGAGATGCCTGATGCCTGGGGGAGGAGGGAATCCCACCAGCAATCAGTCAAGAGTGGGGGATTTTGCTAAAGTCACCCAGCAGAAAACTCTCTCTGTCTCTCTCTCTCCATATACATACATACATGCATACATACATACATACATACATCGTTCAAAGACAAAGACAAAGTCAAGGTTTGGTCAAAAGGCAGTCCCAAAGGGTCCTGATTCAAGTTTGGTCAAAAAAAGTTGATGTAAATTCAGGCAACAGGAAGTTTGTGCAGAAGGCACCGGAAAGTTTAGTTAAGAAACAGGACAGGATGTGCAGGTGCCCTGGATGCCATTGTGGAAGCTGGGGTGCAAAGGGTAGGGCTGGAGGTGAGGACCAGTCAGGAGAGGTAGTAGGGGAGCTGCTGAGCTGGGCAGGGAGAACAGGAGGAGACAGTCTGGAAGACACCCAGTGTCCCAGTCCTGGACCTGGGCGTGGTAGTGTGTACCATAGATCCAGCACTCAGGGTGCTAAGCAAGGGAATCACAAATTTAAGGCCACCCTGGGCTACATAGCAAATTCTGACCTCAAAATGCATAAATAAATAACCAACAGGAGTTGGGGAGATGACTCAGTCAGTAAAGTATTTGCCAAGCAACCATGAGGACCCAAGTTAAGATCCCTATAAAGGAAAATGATAAGAGAGTACACTAGAGCCCAAATAAAGGGATATCAGATATTTATTTGGGAGTCACTCACGAATGACAAATCAAGTAGAGAACCACTGAGGTCTTCTGCCCGGGGCACCAGATGGGGGGGGGAGGAGGGAGGGAGAGAGAGAGAGGTGGGGGGAGAATACGCTTCTTCTCCCTCTTACCGGTCCACACATAGCACCTGAGACCATGTCTTAATGGACCGGTACCCCAAAGGCTGTTAGCTGAATGAGTTCCTGCAACAGATCCCCAGCACTTGCTAAAAAGTTCGGCATGGTGGTGCACACCTGAAATCCTAGTGCCGGAGCTGTAGAGCCTGAAGGACCTCTGGGATATCCTGGCCATCCAGCCTAGCTAACCAGTCAGCTCCAGGGACTTGGTGAAGGATTGCCCATGCCCATTCTGGGACTCAAGTTTTCTAATACACTGAGCAGAGGCTCTGAGACACCAATGAGCCACTGGTGTCCAGACACTCAATGTAAGGAGTATCTCGCCTCATACTCAGAATCCAAGCTATACACTATCCATTGTAAATTTTGAAAACTCAGAACTAACACAAAAATCCAAAAGGAACCTGGCATGTCTGCAATCCCAGGCCTTGGAAGGTAGAGGTTGGCCTGAGTTACAGAAACCCTGTCTCAAAAGCTTAGTAAGACAGACAAAAATCCCACAATGGAGAAAACATCAAAATTTTGAAGAAAAAGAAGATTTAGCCTTGCCCCATATACACTGCCCAGTCCCTCTGCCCAATCAAGCTTAGTACTTGGTCTCAATAAAACTTTATTTTAACAAACAGGCAATTGACCCATAAACAATTGTCCTTTTCTCTCCCCCCTCGCTCTCTCTTCTTCCCTGTTCCTTATCCTCCTCATCTCACCCTTCCCCCACCTCCTCCTCTTCCATTTCCTCTTCCTCCAGCTCTCCTTTTACTCCCCTCTTCCATATATTTTTCCTCCTCTATTTCCCCTCATCTTTTCCTCTTCCTCTTCCTCCTCCCCCCTTTTGGTGGTGCTAGTTCTTGAATTCAAGGCTTAAATCACTCTAGGCAGGCTTGACCACACAACTGCGACTCCACCCCTTAATTTTATTTATATTTATTTTTAAAAGAATTTTGATGTACCTTACATTTTTAGACCCTTTGCACCCTCACCCAATACCAAAGCTGTGCAAAAAGCATTTTCCTGGACGTCAAACCCCAGTGAAAGACCGATCTTCCACAGAAACTGTTCACATTCTAATTCAGCTGGAAATCACCAAGCCTCTGTGGTCAACAGCTCCTCACAGAGAGCTATCTCATGTCCCTGTGCACCTGGGAAGTGTTATTCCTAAACTCAGTCGCTTTCCCTGTAAATGGAAAGAGTAACGTTTGATGCTTTTCAGTTCATAAAAAACAAAGTTGCCCAAACCCAGGACCTTAGCACAACCAGCCCTCCAAAAAGAGTGGGTACCACATGCCAGACTTTCCTAGGGCAAGCAGATAGACACAACATGAGACCCGTATTCCCAAGACTGTAGCTTATCCCCAAGGTTTAAAAAACAAACAAACAAACAAACAAACAAAAACCTAGACCCAGGGATAGTAATCACTCTGGTATGTTAGCTTTAATTATCAACCTGACATAACACAGGTTGATGAGAGTCTCAATGAGGGAATGTCTACATTGGCTTGGCCTGTGGACATTTTTGTGGAAGACTGTCTTAATTAAGTTAATCGATGTGTGAAGACCCAGCCCACACTGGGTAGCACCATTCCCTAGGCAGGGGATCCTGAATTGTGTAAGAGTACAGAAGCTGCTGGGCAGTAGTGGCACACCTTTAATCCCAGTGCCTGAGAGGCAAATGCAGGTGAATCTCTGTGAGTTCAAGGCCAGCCTGGTCCACAGAGTGAATTCCAGGACAGGCTCCAAAGCTACACAGAGAAACCCTGTCTCATAAACCAACCCCCTCCAAGCTGCGTGCAAATAAGTGGTGTGCATTTGTTTCTCTGTGCTCTTGTCTATAGATGTGACATGGCCAGCTGCCTGCCACTGTGACTTCCTTGCAATGATAGACTGTCACCTGTAACCGTGAGATAAAAGAAACCTTCTCTCCCCTAAGTTGCCTTTGGTCAACAAAATGAGACAAGAATGCAATCATTTACTCATTGATTGTTTCTATTTCAGTGGATAATAAGTACCCACTATATTTATTATTTTAAAAGGCCACCTTTTTAAACCTTTGCCAGGCGTTGGTGGCTCACACCTTTAATCCCAGCACTCGGGAGGCAGAGGCAGGTGAATCTCTGTGAGTTCGAGACCAGCCTGGTCTACCGAGCAAGTTCCAGGACAGCCTCCAAAACAATACAGAGAAACCCTGTCTCAAAAAACAAAAAACAAAAAAAAGGCCACCTATTCATGCCAAACACAACCAAGCCACTGGTCAAGTCAGATGTGATCTTTGGTCTCAAAATATATAATCTGGGGGCTGTAAAGGTGGCTCAGTGGTTAAGAGCAGTGGCTCCTCCTCCAGAGAACCTGGGTCCAGTTCCCAGAATTCACACGGCAGCTCACAACTGCCTATAACTCCAGTTCCAGGGGATCCTATGCCCTCATCTGGCCTCCAAGTGCACCGGGCACACACATGGCACACAGACAAAGACAGGCAAAATACTCATACACATAAAATGAAATAAAAATTTAAAGATATTTATCATACGATATTGTGAGATAGGCAGGGAAAGGTGACACAATGCAGAGTGCTAGACACTACTCAGCAAGGAGGAAATGTGGGGATTTATAGACCTCAGCCATTTAGCTGCTGGTCAGGGGAGAATTTTGCCAAGCAGGGCCTTGATTTCCACACAAGCAAAGCCGTGGAAGGCAGATTTACCAGCGCTCTTCAGACAAGAACCTGTGTGTGCTATAGCCAAGTGTGAGAGATAGTGGTGACCAGAGGCCAAGAGACTGAACAGCGTGTAATTTGGCTTAGACTGTGAATGGCTTCTATATACTATGAGATAAAAACTTGGACTTCATTCTGTTGGCAGTGGGGAGAAAGGGTCTGGAAGCTTCTAGGCACAAAGTGACAGGTTTCGATCCAGTTTTAGGTTGCATTTTATTTGTTATGTGGGTATGCATGTGTCACTGTGTATGCATGGAAGTCAGAGGACAACTTTCAAGAGTCAGTACTCATCTGGTGATGGTGGCACTCGCCTTTAATCTCAGCACTCAGGAAGCAGGGGCTAGTGGATCTCTGAGTTCAAGGCCAACCTGGTCTACAGAGTAAGTTCTAGGACAGTCAGGCCTACGTGGAGAAACCCTGTCTCAGAAAAACAAACAAACAACAAAGAGTCTGAATTTTCCTTCTATCCAGCGGGTCCCAGAGATAGAACTCAGGTGGTCCAGTTTAGCAGTAAACGCCTCTACCCACTGCCTTGGGGTTTCTGCTGCTGTAACGGAACACCATGGCCAAAAGCAGCCTGGGAAGGAAAGGACTTGTCTCAGCTCACAGTTCCACAACACAGGTCATTATCAAAGGGAGTCGGGCCGGGAATCAAGGCAGGAACCTGGAGGCCGAAATCAAAGCAGAGGCTGTGGAGGAGTGTTCCTTCGTGGCTTGCTTCTCCTAGCTTGCTTGGCTTACACTCTTATAAAACTCGGGAACCACCGTCCCCGGGGGTGGCACTGCCCAGAGAGAGCGTCCCACATCAATAGTCAATCAAGAAAATGCCCCACAGGCCAGTCTGGCGGGAAGACTTTCTCAATTGAGGTTCCCACTTCCCACATGACTCCAGCTTGCACCAGGTTGATAAAAAATTAACCAGGACACCCACCGAGTCATCTCACCAGTCCCTTGATCTATTTTTAGGAAGAAGGGGAAAAAAAGCAATCACAGAGAGGAGAAACTGCCAATGGGAAGGGTCTGGAGGTAGAAAATCCCACTGGGATATTTCACTAATGAAAGGAGAAATTATAAAGGCTGAATCAAGGCATTAGTGGAAGGCACACGGGACAGGGGTGACAGTCAAAGGCATTCACACCCGGAAGCCACACAGGCTGGTGAGTATAGAGCTGGAGGGCAAAAAAAAAAAAAATGGAGGAGTTTAGACCAAGCCGCAGTTTTGAGATCTGGGCAAGTGTGCACTGTGGTAAGAGTGTGCTTTTGTGTGAATGTGCATGTCATGTGTTTAAGCAAGTGTGAGGAGGGGAAACTGAGAGCAGAGCGTGTGCTCGACCGTAGACTTGTGGCTCTAGGGTGTGTGAAAGATCGCTCAAGCAACATGACCAGTTGAGAAATGATGGGCTCAGGACTCAGGGACTGGGGCATGCTCAGACTGATCCTGGGCGGTGAGGGCAGAGGATGTGGGCAGAGGGTCCATGGGTCCATGAGCTGCCTGGGTAGAAAGTATGAGAAGAGCTCAAGGTGAGTGGCCACAGAGGATGGGTGCAGGAAATGAGCATCGGGGCTGGAGAGGCCTCCGTGATTAAGAGCATAAACTGCTCTTGAAGAGGACCCAAGACACCCACTTCCAGATGTCTGCATTAGGTGGCTCACAACTGCCTGTTACTCCAACTCCTGGAGATTTGATGACCTTCTTCTAGCCTCTGTGAGCACCTGTATACACATGGCATATGCTCACAGAAAAACACACCCATCCACATAAATTGAAAAATAAATAAGTAAAAAGAATGCATTTAATAACTAAACAGAACCGAGCATCGTTGAGGGCTAGCCAGGAAGACCAGGAGAAGAAAGAATAGAAGGAGAGTAGCTAGGAGACCAGGAGAACTGACACACTGGAGGAGAAGAGTCCACGTGGCAGACAGAAAGGCATGAAGACAAGAGCCAGCCAACTGCAGCTTGGAGCTGGCTGGCTGCAGCAGGCGAGTTTAGCTAAAGGAATTTCAACACCGGCCAAAATCTGCATTTCTATTAAATCGTGTTGGGATTCAATCCCAATGTGCGGTATTAAGAAATGACACAGGAGATGTGGGGGGATCTAAGGGATGATGAGGTTCTGAAGGCCAAGGTCTTCATGAGCATTGAGCTCATTCGTGATTAATGGGCTTATCTTGAGCGTGGATGTTACAACAGCCTGTAACTCCAACTCCAGGGGAGCTAACATTGTTTTCTGGCCTCTGCAGGTACCTGAACTTATGTATACACAAATACACAAATTAGAAAAGAAATGAGGGGGCGGAGGGGGAGAGACCAGTGGTTAAGAGTACTGGCTGCTCTTCCAGAAGACTTGAGTTCGGTTCAGATGCCTACATGGAGGTTCACAACAGTCCATGACTGCAGTTCCAGGAGCTCCAACACCCTCTTCTAGCCTCTAGAATGCACATGGAACACATACATACATGCAAGATTTCAAAGTTAATAAAAATAATGTTTTAAAGTTTTTCAATTTTTAAAAAGAATTTGTTAAAAAATTAAATTAAGCCGGGCGTTGGTGGTGCAGGCCTTTAATCCCAGCACTTGGGAGGCAGATGCCGGCGGAGCTCTGTGAGTTCGAGGCCAGCCTGGTCTACACAGTGAGTTCCAGGATAGCCTCCAAAACAATACAGAGAAACCCTGTCTCGAAAAACCAAAAAAAAAAAAAAATTAAATTAAATTAAAAGCCTGTTTAGCTCTGTCTCCTGAATTGTCCTTCTTTCCATTCCTGCCCCAAGAACTAGGAGCTGAATAAGCCTTTATTCTTTTTTTAATCTTTATGGCATGTACATATGCATGTCTACTAGTTTGCACATGCGTGTGGAGGCCAGAGGTCAACTTGGGTGCAGTCCCTAGGAGGACAACGGTCACCTTGTTTTTTCAGACAGCGTCTCTCGCTGTTCTATAGCTCATGGACTAGGCTGGGCTGGCAGGCCACTGAGTCCAGGCATCCGATCCACCTGGCCGGGACTCCCCAGTGCTTCTATTAAAAGTGCATGCCACTTCTTGGTTCTGGGGCATCCAAGTCAAGTCCTCATGTTTGGGCAACGATCACTTTATAACCAAACTAGCTCTCCAGAACAAGCCTTTATTCTTTATAAATCACCCAGTCTGTGATATTCCAAGGTAGCAGCAGAAAAACAGCATGAACTGCCACAGCCTTTTCCATGGAATACTGGTGTAGGGTTGAGGAACCCATGTGAACAAGGAAGTAGAGGCCATGCGTGTAGACAGCTCCCTCAGGACATTCTAAGGAGGAGGGAGAAGTGGCATTGCACGGGTCGGAGAGAGCAGGTGTATGCATGTGTGTGTGTATGTATGTGTGTATGTATGTATGTATGTGTGTATGTATGTGTGTATGTGTGTGTAGGTGTGTAGGTGTTTACATGTGTGTGTCCGTGTGTTCTGTGGATTCCCACGTGCGCACGCGTGCGTGCGTGTGTGTGTGTGTGTGTGTGTGTGTGTGTTCCTGTGTGTCTATGTCTGTGTGTGATTCTGTGTTTGTGACCGGAAGTTGCACTAGAACAGTGGTTCTCAACCTGTGGGTTGCAACCCTTTCTGGGGATCGAAGGGCTCTTTCACAGGGGTCACCTAAAACTACCAGAAAGCACAGATATTTGCGTTATAATCCATAACAGTAGCAAAATTGCAGTTATGGAGTAGCAATGAAAATAATTCCACGTTTGGGGCCAGTACAACTCGAGGAACTGTATTAAAGGGCTGGAGTGTTAGGAAGGTTGAGAACCACCGCTCTAGAAGATGTGACTGAAACTGGGAGGCACCTAGGTACCTTATGGATATTGACAGGACTGACTGACCCACCGTGACCCAGGAATCATCTCAGTTTCTCCCATAAGCCCTATAAAAAGCCCTGGGACTTGGGTGGCAAAACCGTTCATCGAGTAAGGGCACCGGGCTGCTAAGCCCAACCACCTGAGTTGATCCCTGGGGTCCACACAGTACAAGGAAAGAACCAAATCCCGCAAGTTGTGCCCTGGCTCCCGCGTGTGTGCTGCGGCACACACCCCAATGAGTAGATAAACAAATGTAGTGAGATTTTTGAGAGACAAAAACCTCCTGGCCCAGCAGCTTGGCGGTGCTCTACTTCTAGGACCGCTTCTGTCACACAGGCGCTCTCTCTTTCTTCATCTTAAGCTCTCACCTACGGGGGCTGGAGAGATGGCTCAGAGGTTAAGAGTACTGCTTGCTCTTCCAGAGGTCATGAGTTCAATTCCCAGCAACCACATGGTGGCTCACAACCTTCTGTAATGAGATCTGGTGTCCTTTCCTGGCTTGCAGACATACATAGAGGCAGGATGTTGTATTCATAATAAATAAAATCTTAAAAAAAAAAAAGCTCCTACCTACGATCCTCCAAGAAAACCTGGCCTGAATCCATTCTCCCACTGCCGCTGTCCATGAAATTCCTCCTCTGTTTTCGAGAGACCAGAACCTGGAGCCAGTGACTCGGTGGGAGTTTAGTGTGCCCATGAGCTTCCAGCACCCCGAGTCTTGAGTACGAGTCCACCTGTGGCTAAGAAGCCTCTCCTGCACTTAAAGGCTCCCATCCCCCCATTTCAGTACCAGACATCTTCCTGAAGCAAGTGTGACGCCTGGAGAGACACAGACTTGGAAGTCTGAGGGTGGCCATGGACCTCTACTCTCAGGCCATCGCCTCAGTGTCCTCAGTGCAGGGGTGGGGGGTGGAGGGTGGGGGGTGGGTAGTGGGGGGTGGGGGGTGGGTAGTGGGGGGTGGGGGGTAGGGGGTGCTCAAGAGCCTCTCCAGTCTCAGCAGCCTTCTCCCTGCCTTCCCAGTCTGACTGCCCTGCCCCTGCCCAGATGGACAGACAGCCTGCAGAGCACTCTCCCGGGAGTCACTGCCTTGCCTTCCAAAAGTGATTCCAAGGCCAAACTCCAAACGCCTCACCTCCCACATCCTCTTGCCGGCCCACCAGCCCCCAGCCGGCCTACCTCTTGAAGCAGAGAGAATTAGAAATCAGCAGGGGTGGAAGATGACATCCGTGGACATCGGCTGAGACCTGCAGAACAGAAGGAGAGTCGTCTATGGAGAGGCAAAAGAGCAGCGACCTTAACTGACTCCTTGGCCCACCTGAACGCCTGCTTCTTCCTCCCCCAGCACTTCGGGCTGCCAAAGACTTAACTCTGCAGGAAGGTCCTGTCTTCCTTACAGCAGGCTGGAACCCTCACCTCTCTTATTAACAGAGCATCCGGTGGCATTATAATTGAATTTTTCATTCTAATTATTTCAGTGGGCCAGAAGAGCAAGCAAGACCAAGAGCAACTGTGACACTGTGATGCTGCAGACAGAGGCACCCGTGGAAGATGGTAACCAAGGAGGCAGGAAACTGGCTATGATCAGTGGACCAGAGAGCCCAGGGTGTTCATCCCTTTCCAATTCTCCCTCTGCCTTCCTCAACCCTCAGCTGGCCCAGCAATCACTTCTCCTTGCTCAAATCAGCAGTCAACAGATGGTAATGGATGTAGAGGATGATCTCAGGGTGAGGGTATTGTGGTCCATAACTGTAGTCTCAGCACTGGGGAAGGTAATGACAGCAGGATCTCTGCAAGCTCCAGGTCAGTTTGGACTACACAGTGAGTTCCAGGTTGCCAGGGCTATATGGTAAAACTTCATCTCAAAACAAACAACATGCAAAAATAAATAAATGAATAAATAAACAGTGGAGATGTCCAGGTATGAGCTTGAGTGCTTACCATACAAATGCAAGGCCCTGGATTCAGGCCCTACTCAGTACAGCAAAGTATAACTTGAGAGTGTCCTTTCAAAAGGATGTTTCAAGGGCAGTAGAGACGGCTCAGCAGTTAAGAGAACTTGCTGCTCTTACAGGGTTCAGTTCCCAGGACCCATACAAGGCGCCAGGAGGATCTGATGCCCTCTTCTGATCTCTATCTGTATTGCATCCACATTCACGTACCTACACACAGACACACATGCATTACACACTCGGGAGGCAGAGGCAGGCAGATCTCTGTGAGATCGAGGCCAGCCTAGTCTACAGAATGAGTTCCAGGACAGGTTCTAAAACAATACAGAGAAACCCTGTCTCAAAAAGCAAACAAAAAACAAAAACAAAAAAACCCCAAACCTTTAAAAGAAAAGCAGTGTTTCACTCTCCACACAGATCCTATGGTAGTATGCAAGAAAGTAGGAGAAGCAACGAGACATAACCATGGGGACAATATTTAGCCGGAATATTCGCCTTCATAAACATTTTACCCTTACACTGAAATAACTCAAATTACTTAGCATTAAACAATGCTACCATAATTTACTTTCTTTTTCTTTTTGTGGCATTGGGAACCAAATCAATGGATGCCAAGCAAGGGCTCTGCCCCCGAGCTACACCTCAGCCCTGTGTGTCAATTGTTAAGTAAAGCACCATTTTAAAATCATGTTGATTAAACCCTGGTGTAGCTCCATTCACTGTAAGCCCAGCGTCCAGGAGTCTGGTAAGTTTAAGGAAGGGCAGTTTGGGATACACTACACAGCAAAATCCAGCCTCAAAACAAACAAAAAAATGGGTGTGGTAATCCAAGCCTTTAATTCCAGTACTTAGGAGGCTGAGGCAGGATGATCTCCAAGAGTTCAAGACCAGCCTAGGCCACAGGGTGAAACTTTGTCTCAAATAAAATAAATAAATCAACAAAAGGCCATTCATGGGACACTGGTGAAACCTAATGGAAGCCTTCCGTTCTAGCTTCATTTCTGTCGCTGTAGTAAAATACACTGGTGAAAGACAAATTTAGAGGATGGAGGTTTACTTTTGCTCACAAATCCGTGTTACCGTCCACTAAGGTGGGGAAGTCAAGGCAGCAGGAACGGGAAGCAGATAACACACCAAAGCAGGGGGGACCGGAAGCAGCCAGCGGTCACATCCCACATCTGCAATCAAGAGCAGGGGGGACCGGAAGCAGCCAGCGGTCACATCCCACATCTGCAATCAAGAGCGGAGAGCATGCTTGCTTCTTGTCCTCAGCCAGCTGGTTACCCAAACCTACTGCCCAACCCCCCCGGGCATGGTGCAGCCTACGTCAAACCCCCCCCCCGGCATGGCGCAGCCTACGTCAACCCCCGGCATGGTGCAGCCTACGTCAACCCCCCACCCGGGCATGGTGCAGCCTACTCCACCCCCCCCCGGCATGGTGCAGCCTACGTCAAACCCCCCCCCCCGGCATGGTGCAGCCTACGTCAACACCCCCCCCGGGCATGGTGCAGCCTACTCCACCCCCCCCGGGCATGGTGCAGCCTACTCCACCCCCCCCCCGGCATGGTGCAGCCTACGTCAAACCCCCCGGGCATGGTGCAGCCTACTCCACCCCCCGGCATGGCGTAGCCTACATCAACACCCCCCACCCCACCCCCACCCCCGAGCATGGTGCAGCCTACTCCACCACCCCCCCGGGCATGGTGCAGCCTACGTCAACCCCCCGGGCATGGTGCAGCCTACGTCAACACCCCCGGGCATGGTGCAGCCTACTCCACCCCCCCGTGCATGGTGCAGCCTACTCCACCCCCGGGCATGGCGTAGCCTACATCAACACCCCACCCCACCCCCACCCCCGTGCATGGTGCAGCCTACTCCACCACCCCCCGGGCATGGCGCAGCCTACTCCACCTCCCCCGGCATGGTGCAGCCTACGTCAACCCCCCGGCATGGTGCAGCCTACGTCAACCCCCCACCCGGGCATGGTGCAGCCTACTCCACCCCCCGGGCATGGTGCAGCCTACGTCAACCCCCCCGGCATGGTGCAGCCTACGTCAACCCCCGGGCATGGTGCAGCCTACTCCACCCCCCGGGCATGGTGCAGCCTACGTCAACACCCCCCCACCCCACCCCCCACCCCCGAGCATGGTGCAGCCTACGTTCAGGCTGCATCTTCTGACATCAATTAACCCAGTTTTTGTTTTTTAAAGGTAGGGGGAGGCATGTTCACAGCCAACCTCATCTAGACAGTCCCTCACTGAGCCTCCCTTCGCAGGCAAGTCTGGGCTATGTCGCCTTGACACTTTAAGCTAACCATCACAATATATTAGTGGCGTAAAGTTCTCAGTTTTGCACAAAGTACCTGGTTGTACAGGTTATGATGAGGAGAAGCTGAGTAAAAAGTCTTAAGTGCAGCTTCCTGCAAAACTAATGAGCTTAATTTTAAATATCGCCATACACGGTAGCTCGTGCCTATAATTCCAGCACTTGAAAAACTGAGACAGGAAGATCAACATGAGTTTGAGGCCAGCCCAGACTACATAATTAGTGCCAAACCAATCTGGACAAGATAAAATAAATGTCATGTAATGACATCTGGCTTCCTGCTCCCAACCTACCCTCAACCCAAAGGCTTGGCCCATCATCATCTCCATCAGACGCCTTCTGTGGAAGACCCTAGAAACACCACAAAGACATGCTGAGAGAACAGGCAAGGCGTGTGGTTCCAGGAATGTCTGAGTCACAACCATCATGAACCAAAGCTCTCGCACCACAAACCATTCTAGGTCTATCGGGCATTTGTTCCTTTCATAACAGCAGGCTAAGCCGGGAGCGAGGCCACTCTAAGACTGGGATGTGGGAAAGACCGCTGCTTAAAAAAAGACCTGGAGCCGGGCGGTGGTGGCGCACGCCTTTAATCCCAGCACTCGGGAGGCAGAGGCAGTCGGATCTCTGTGAGTTCGAGGCAGGGCTGGACCGATAACCTCCGAAACAATACAGAGAAACCCTGTCTCGTAAAAACCAAAAAAAAAAAAAAAAAAAAAAAAAAAAGACCTGGAAAGAGCTCATCAACAGACCACATGCCTAACGTATGCAAGCCCCTGAGTTCAGTCCTTGGCACCCACACAACACTTAAAAAAAAATGAACGATTCAAAAAAAACCACACAGGCTTCTCTGCTAAGGGGCAGTGATGACAATAGACAGCCTTCTCTCACGTGCCCACAGCTGGCAGGGCCTTCGAGAGGAACGGTGCAGTATACGAGGCCCACCAGGTACCATCAGGAAAGGCTTTGCAGAGAAGGTGGCATCGGGTACCCGTTGTTCCTTGTCAACCAAAGACAGCTCTGTCATATCCTGTGGTTCATGCAGCTGAGAAAAAAAAGGGGGGGGATTTCCCTTCCTCCCCTCTCGGCACTCTCAGAAAACATCAAGTGTTGTGGGCATCATAAAATCATAATCATCATTGTCATCATTGTCACCGTCAGCCTCTCCTGGTCTCTGAGGGAGCCCGGGTAAAGAGAGAACAGGCCTAGGGAACTGGGCCTGCTTCCCCATCCCTGCAGCCTGAAAGGCCACAGGGGCTTGTTGACACAGCTGGGGAAGAAAGGTTTTATCCCCGCCTCATTAATCACTTCTGCACAGGAGCTCTAAGGCAGAGGCACCCCAGGGCTAGCTCTCACAGGATAAGGAGGATAGGAAGGGGGTTGTCTTGGCCTCAGGATCCAAGGCAACCCTAAGGAGACCAGGGATCACCCACAAGCAGGGGATTGCCCAGTCAGGATGTTTGTTCTACTCTGAGCAGCAGCCTTCCTGCCTGGAGGTGAATGCTTCCAGCCTTGGCTGGTAACCCCTAACACACAGGTCCCTAGAGGAACATATATTTTCCTCTTTCCCACTTAGCCAAACCACTGTCAGCTGCTTGCCATGCGGCTCCTGACCCTGCCTAAACTCTACCCAGGAGGTGGCTTGGGGTGGGCTGGGGGTAGGGGTCCTCAGTAGGATGCCCTGAAGACATCCAGGGTCACCAAGCTTTGCTAAGAGCAACTCAAACCATATGACTTAGTTCTGAGTACAGGAAGAGACCAGATGAGGATTCAAAGGGACCATTTCCCTGTCTCTCGGTTCACCTACGAGGTGTCAAGGGCCCACAGCACAGGGCAGAGGGAAGGGCCAAGCTCTCCTGGCTCTCACCCAGAAGCTCCAAGAGGAGGGCAAATGATATCTCAGAGTGCCAGGAAGACCAGCAGCCTGAGCCCAGGCCAGGTTTGCAGAACTGCCTTCCCTAGTTAACTCTTCCTTTGTCGCTGGCCATACTGAAGGCCCTTCCTAGACTCCGAGGGTGGGCAGCAGCTGGAGGGCACGGGGACTCCCCTGTGTCCCCTCCTTGACTATGCAGAGGGCAGAATCCAGGCACCTTTCAGTCCAGTTAAATTTTGAACTTTAAAGTGGTTCAAGTGGCCACGTGGCCAGGGCTCCCTATCCTCCCTCTCCACCACTAGGGGGCGCGCTCTGCCTCGTGCCTTTCAGGCTCTCTCTTGCACTCTCCGATTCTTCATCCCTCTCCTCTCCTCCCTCCTGCCCGCTCAGCATCCCGTTTTCTCTCTCCCACTCCCTGCGCAACCCCCCCTTCTTCCTGTCTCGTATTTTCCTGCCCAGGAATCAGACCCCAGACAGTACCTAGGAAGTCTGCGGCCTTGCCTAATAGAACCGTAATAGTCCTCGGGGAGGCGTGATAATGACATCCTCCTTAAATAAAAGGACTTAATGGAGATTTCCCAAATTTGAAAACCACATTTCCACTAGCAACCTACTCAGTGAATGCTCTGGAGAGGAACTCATGGGGATCTGCAGTGGGGGAGCGGGCGAGGAGGCTCAGAGCCTGCGCAGAACAGCATGCGGTTCTGCACTACTCTCCCAGGGAGGACAAAGGACCCATCAGAGGTTACAGACCACGGAGGTGGGCCGCCTCAGTCTTCTCCCTTCCAATCCGATCAGCTCCCAAAGAGCAAAGACTCGGCTGCTTCCCTCTCTGGACCCCAGTGGTCTCAGCTAAGCTAAGTATAATCACCTCCCATTGTGACCAGTGAGGGTAAAGAAAGGTTAGCGCGCCAAATTGCACACAGAGCCTTTTTTTAAAATGCATTCTAATTTATTCTGTGTATGGAGTATGCATGTCCCCAATGAAGTAGCAGAGGTCACAGAACATCTTGTGGGAGCCGATTCTCTCCTCCCGTTATGTAGGTCCTTCAAGCTTTGCAGCAAGCACCTTTACCGTCTGAGGTATCTCACAGGCCCAAGAACCTTCTAACAAGTACTGCAAGACAGGGGTCCTGTCACCCGTCCTACGAAAGAACAACAGACCCTTGTCTTAGAACACCAGCGGTGTAGCGGCCCGCGTGTCACACGAGCACTATGAAGTCTGAGGCTAGGCAATTGCTGTGGCTTTGGGGCCACCTGGTCTACATGGTGAATTCCAGCCAGTCTAAGGTGTACAGTGAAACTCTGTCTCACAAAGACTGAGAATGGGGATGTGGCTGAGTTTGGTAGAGTGTTCCACAGCCTGGTGGAAGCCCTGGGTTTGTTCTCCAGCACTGCCTAAGTCAGGTTTAGTAGTACTTGCCTGTAACTCTCGAATTTCGAGATGAAGGCAAAAGGATGCACTGGATAGGGGAGGGAGGGAGGGAGGGAGGGAGGGAGGGAGGGAGGGGGAGAGGGAGGGAGGGAGGGAGGGAGGGAGGGAGGGAGGGAGGGAGGGAGGGGGAGAGGGAGGGAGGGGGAGAGGGGAGCCCTTGAGGTTGAGGGAGCATAATGGTTTCTCATAGCCTCTTGACACCAGATGACGAATAACCCATAATGGAGACACGGGACTTTCGGTTCAGGTTTTGTGGACTCTGGGGACGCTTTCCTCAGGTAGTCAGATGAGCTTTTGAGGGGGGGGTCCCACGTGCCTCGCCCTGCCCCCAACCAGAAGATGGAGGTGCAACGGCCTGCGATGCTGGCAGAGAGCTGTGATCTTGGGCCAAGTACTTCCCCTCTCTGGGCCTCCGTCTCCTGAGGTAAGGACACATTGAATTAGGTGGTCTGTGGGGTATCTACATTCTAAATAAAAGTTTAAACCAGAGTAAAATTCTTCCTATTAGGGCCTGGCCGCAGCGAGCGTTGCAGTGTGCTTGCCAACACTGCCACCTGGTGGCAGCAACACTCAACTCCAGTGGAGACTTGTGGGCTGGTAGTCAG